CTCACCACATGCAAGAGGCTACCAGGCTGATAGGAAGGTGGTAGAGACCAGAGGTCCATGGTCACTGCTCCAACCCAAACAGGCCTCCCCCTCACAATTAACCTCCAGGAAGTCACCTGGCCAGGGTTAATAATCACAGGAAGGGCTGACCAGAGGCAGGCAGGCAGCATCCTTTCTGAGTGATTTGTGTTTGTTTCAAATTAGCTGTTACTTTGATATCACCCCTGAATAATGCCACCCCATTCCCTTCCAACCCAGATGCTGAGTTGGCAGAAGCAAGAGTGGGAAAGGCAAAACCTGAAAATCTATTCACTTCTCCTAAGGAAGACATTTCATTTTTGCCCCAGACTGGTTACAAGATTAAGCTAAACTGAATTTTCCCAGCACTCTTCTGCCCATAGTTGCACATGAGAAAAATAGGATAGGTAGACCCCAAATTCCTGCAGGCTATCTGCACATCTGGCAGTGGTGTAAGGAAATTTCTATCCTTGCTGTAGAAATGAGAGTAGCTGTCCTCAGCTATTAAATGTTTATCTGTCTATATGGATTTATATTTCTCTATGGATTTATTCAATTGGATTTTTATAAATCTGAATTTCACCCCAACATAATTAATTATTATTTTCTCTATCAGTGTAAACAGAGAGAGGGAGTTAAAAAAGAAAAATTAAAGGGACCCCTCCCACATCTGAGAGAAAAAAAAAATGAGCAGGGGAGGCTGTTAAGGTTCACTCCCTAGGTACTTCCAGATGGCACTGCATACTGGGACATGCAGACTAGTCCATAGCCAAGAAGAAATGAGACCAGACTGGCAAGGATGCCCAGACTGCAGTCTGACCCATCACCACTTGACAAACTTTCCACCGATCAGAATTATAGCGATTGAACCCCACATTTGCATGCAGCCAACCTAGCCCCTCCCCTATTGTCTGTCTGTACAGTGTGTACAGGTCTCCCCAAGGAGGTACATAGGGTCTCCCCAAGGAGCTACATGGTGTGTACAGGTCTCCCCAAGGACCTACTTGGATGGGTAGCTCAAATGCCTTTCTGAGTTTTTGTCCCCTGGACTTACAGTCATGAAGCCCAGAATAAAGGTTTGCTGCAAATTTAAGCTGTGACATTTGTGCTGTAATACTCCGCCTGTAAAGTAAGAATTGTGGCACCCAAGCTCTAGCAATTTCAGTATTGCACTACACAGGAGATATTACAAATTGTGTGAGGCAAATTGTTTTGGAAAAAGTAAGATCTCTACCAAAATGAAGCCAGTGCTTCATACTTTAGCACTTCACACCTTACAAGCTGCAGCCAGAAGGGAAAGCTCCATCATTGTTTGGAGAAGCAATGTTTAGCCCAGAAACCCAAAAGACTGGACCCCTGTCTCTGGGAGAGGGAGCTTATGGATGATCTCGGCTTAGTTCACGAATATTTTATAGTGTAATTCCATGCCAGGCCCTGCTTTAGGATCTGGAATAGTAGAAATATATGATTTCTTATAGCACTAAGAACTATAGAGAAAATTGTACAGAAGAGGGAGACAGAGAATGTCCAAAGTAGGGTTGTGGCTTTTAATAGCAAAGACAGAGGGTGTCTCACACAGAAACACACTGGAGTGGCAACATTGAGGTGAAGTAAATTATTAGGACCGTTCTCAGAAAAGTATTCTTAAATGCATAAAGTAAAAACACAGAGCACTAAAAAGGTAACCAACTGTATTAAAAGACAGTTATCAAAATATGTTAAAAACATGTTCTTTTAGCCATGTCTTTTTTTATTAAGTGACAAGACCTAGTGGCAGTTCTAAAGTTGGCTGGCTTTGAAGTGGTGATAAATGCAAATTCACTCTCAAGAAAGCTGAAACAACTCCTATCTGACACAGAAAGAAAAATTCTCCCCATTATGACACAGTTCCAGAAACTGCTAATCTAAGGTGCTGCTGTTTATTTATTTTGCCTGTTTTCAGAAGTACAGGGAGTGCTTCTAAAATAAGTCTTCTAAAATTAAAGGTGGGTTCTTGTTTTTCTTTCATTCAAGTTCTCATAAATTTATTTTTAATCCCAGGCTAAGAACCTTTTTATAATGATTCTTAGCCTTGGGCGGATTTCTCCACCACCCACAAGTCCCTCCATCTCATCCACCCTCTCCCCCAGGCACTTTGGACAATATTTACAAAAGCTGAACATACATGTACTATTTGGTCCAAGTCCATGCCCAGGCATATACCTAACATAAATACGGACATATTTTCACTAAAAGACATAAAAAAAATTCATAGCAGTGCTGATTTTTTTAATAGCTGGAAGCAACCCAAGTGTCCATCAAGAATAGAATAAATAATCTTTGGTATTGCTATACAGTGGAGGACTATACAGAAATGAGTATGAATGAAATACAACTATATACAACATGATTGCATAAAATAAACATACTGAGGGAAAGAAGCCAGGCATAAAAGAGTATATACCATAAGATTCCATTTGTAGTCAATAGAAAGTTCTAAAATAGTCCGTAAAATCCATGGTGTTGGAAATCAGGATCTCATTATTATGCTAAATGGATTAAATGGGGAAAGAGAATCACTTCTGAAATGCTACAATGTCCCATTATTTTCCCTCTGTGCTTGCTATACAAATATATTCACTTTGTAAAAACTAAGCTATATACATGTGTTTTGTGTATTTTGTTTTTTAATTTTTTAATTTTTTTACATGGTTATTCATTTTGTGCATTTTTTCATCGCAATTGTAATTAATCCCCATGGGTATTTCTCATAATGTGATATCGGGTTAGCAGTAAGTCGGTACTCTTTTTTCCCCCAAACCTAGAGTTGCCTGGGGAAAACTTAGATTTATCTTTTCCCAACACGTGTCCCTTGGATATGTGTCAAGGTAATATAATTTGGGGTGCTGGGTATGGAGGGACACTGTGAAATTTCCAACCTGTGGGAGGAAAGCTTGTGCATAGTAGGTCTACATGACTGGTGGGAAGCCAAGGCGGAAGCCCCTCTGCATTAAGATGGCCCCACACACCAGGGTCGCATCACAGCTGTCATCCACAGCCTCACACAGGTGAGGCAGGAGCCTGGTTTTGTGCACATGGAGGACTGAGCTTTTGTAAAGACTCAGGGATGCATGTCCACTCTGCTGGAAGCTTTGTACGATGTAAAGCAAACAACTATACACTTGTATCTTGGGAGCGTAAATGTTATCAGGGTGAGGGTGTACCATGTATTACACTTCAATAAAAGTTTTTACTAAAGGGAAAAAATCCTGTGGCTGTTCTGGCCAAGCTATTTATCCTGATCATATCTTCTCCTTGGGTTCTGAATTCCTTCCATTTGTTTTCTGTGCTGCTTCTCTCCTTTGACTTGCTGTCCTTTTCAGGGCTCTTACCTACAACCACCCCCTAAACATCCTGTTCACTTTTTTATGCAAACCTGTTATTGCATTATCTCATGCCAAACTAGTAATCAGTCCACAGAAAGTTCATGTCATAACTAATACCAGGATTGACTGCAAAACATATTTCCCTCCCAAGAGAAGTTGTGTGACTACCCCTGATTATTATCTGTGCCTTAGTTACCTATGTAATAGCTTCAGCTACTCCTACTCCTAATTTGTTATCTCAAGCTTTCCTGAAGTATTAAAAGGAATAGAGCTTGACTAGCACCACCAAATATACCTTCCAAGTGCCAGCTGCTGTGATATGACTTCCAGGAATAACTTATCTCTGCATGTCACTCTGTGCTGTGTGCTCACACTCCTGCTTTGCATCAATTCAATAGTGATGGCAGATGCTCTATGGTTATCCTAATTTTGCAGTGTTTGGCTTTTTTTGAAGAGAATGGGGAATTTTAAACTGAGCAACTTAGAATCTAATGAGATTCTTCTACAGCCAGGATGCAGGATGGGACAATACACAAATAATGGGTTCCTGTTGTTAAAACTATTAATGCGGCAGGTTTGTAATGACACAGGCTTTCTTTATCATCTTTCTTCTGATGGCAACTTCTGGAGCCCATAGAACAATAAAGATCTATTTCCAATCTTTCCTACAAATGGTGCCAGGAAAATGAAGATATGATTGTTATTTCTGGTTATTCCATCTTGAGTTAAAAACCCTTGATTTCAGAAATAGTGAAGCTTGATATAACATTTAGCTCTTGGATTTGTCTCCACCTGTCTCAGGGGAAAAAATAAAGTCATCTTCTAGGTAGGTATGTGAGGTACTTTCCAAGCAAAATGAGTCTTCTTAAATTGTCCAGTTTCACATGTGTGAAGTATGAAACCTCAGAATTGAAATTCAGTTTCTAAATTACCTCTGACACTTGCTATTAATAGAGACAGAAATGGCACCAGGGCCTGATCAAGAACACTGATGATCTCTTCTATCGGTGTTTAAAATCAAAACACAAGGAACTGTCTCCAAAATAGAGATGTGTGTGCAAAAATAATCTGTTAAATACCAAAGATGATTAGAAAAGATCATTCCAGAATGCTCGCATCCATGTGCTTTGTAGTCATATTTTCTGTAAAAATAGTTTGGCTCAAAAGCCAGAAATTGAGCAGGAGAGACCTTTATTCCATGACTTGGAAGTATTTGTTTTCATCTTCTGTGTGTGCATCACTGAAGTCAAGCATGTCACTCTTCTGTAGGAGAGAAAAATCCTCACCCCTGTAGGTGCCTGCAGGGACCCTCCAGGCCATCCTTCAGAAGAGCTGCCATGACGAAGGCGGCCACAGCACATTTTCCCCTTCTGCACATAGGGACCATAAAAAACACTGCAGAAAAATGAGAGCTTATTAGTCCCTTTCCAACACACATAGTGAAAAATATTATTGTCAGAATATTCTAAATTTTAAGAAGCTTGAAAAGTCTTTGATCTTTGCATTCTTTCCAGCAGTCAGCAAGCCTAGAGGAAGATATTCACCACCAGTGACCAACTGGGATCTCTTCTCATGACAGTTTTGCAAGATGATCTTCTGGCTTGGCCTTCCTTCTGGTCACCAGGTTTCTGCGATCTCTGTGAGCACCTGCAGCAGCTCAGCAAATGTAGGGCGACCTTTTGGTTTCTGGAAAAGAGAAGTGCAGGGGTCAGCCAGCTTATGGAGCACTCACACGCCCGCTCTGGGACCTGCTGGCTGGGACCTGGAACTAGGCTGGTTGTCTACAAACACAAGAGAAAGCGCTCTTGACTGACACAAGGGACCTGAGTGGCAGTCAAGTGAAGCGTGAGTCTGAAATGCATGTGTGTGGAGCCCACTGCAAAATAATAGTTAAAGCTGTAAACACTAGACACATATAGCTATTTAAATTCATTAAAACTAAATAAATATTGGGCCACCCCCTCCACCGCCCGTGGCACAGTGGGTTAAAACACAACATTAAGAAGCTAAAGCCACTTCAGCATGAGTTTGATCCCCGACCCCAGAGGTGACCCACATGGTGCAGCAGACCTCTCCTGACCAGCCTGCTGCTCCCCTCAGCAGTGTACTTCCTCAGTTGGCCTATTCTGCTCCGTACTCTGTCTCTGGTGAACCTTCTCACCACCCCCTGCACCTCTGGCCTGTACCCCAGTTCTGTATGCATAAATAAATAAGTCTTTTAAAAATAATTAAATAAATGTTTAACTTCAGTTCTCAACCACACAAGCCACTTTTTAAGTCTTCAATGCCAGGTTTGGCAACCAAATTGGACATTACAGATAGGACACTTTCCATCATCACAGAAAGTTCTACAGTACTACCCTAGAGATCTACGGATGGCATGCTATGTGTGGGGCAAGAAAGAACTGGAGTGGAAGGTTCATCAGTAGTTCCAAGTTCCCAAGTTCAACCCCAGTTTTTTACTACACCTGATCCCCTATAGTAAGAAGGGTCTAGCCAGAAAGTAAAATTCAGGTTTGGGGAAGGAGCTTTGCACATCTGGAGACAGGCAGTGCTGTCTTGTGGCTCAGTGTAAAAAATCCCTGGCCTCAGACTGAAGGATTAGAACATTTCTCCTACATCATCATGAGTTGCTGGCTGACTTGGGCTCAGTGAGGAAGAAAGGAAGACAATGTTGGCTCCTTTAAAATCCACAGGAAATTGAATTACTCATAGTAGCCACATTATCGCAAAGGTCACTGGCAACAGGGTTAGTGGGATACTCCACCCTCAGTGGCATAGAAACAGAGGGCATCAAAAGAGGACAGAGTAGATGGACATGTGGGCACATGGATGAGTCCTCCTTGAGATTCCAAGAAGAAAGCGTGGAGTTCTTTGAGAGGCTGCAGATGGTAGAGCCAATGAAGCTTGCAGTTTGATACCAATATAATCACACTTGAATCTAGAGATGCCTAGAATTTAGGGCTTTTAGCTTATATTAAAATGTTATGGACAAAATCAACTTTTCAATCAAATAAATCAGCATAACCAAGATAATGATTTTAAGCAGTGTTCTAATTTCAATTTGAGACTGATATTATAAATGTGGTCCTCCAGGTAGCATTCTATTTCCTCTCTTCTCTCTTTTCTCCATGGACATAATAAACCTCATATTACATTGTAAGCACATATACATGTCTATTGTTTCATATGTTGTATATTCCTGAGCTACTTACATCTTATCATAAAGGTGCTCTTAAAACAATTGTTTATTACTAATAGGTCACTTCATGTTTTCTATCTTTCAAGATACCTTGCAGAGCATTTAAGCATATCTAAAGTATTTTCATCTATTGGGAAAATTTATAAAAGTAATCCTTCTTTGGAATGTGAACAACCATGTCACTCTTGAAATACTGAATTTTCTAGTGTTTGTAGATTGGGACTCAAGTGATTTCCTTTTCAGCTACAGAAAACCTCCCAACAAGCTGTGGGTTTTGGCAGTGCTAAAACTGTCAGCTGGGGAAAAAAGGGCAGTAGAAAGTGTCAAGGAGCTTGATGTAGAGGGGAGGGGAGTGTTAAGTCAGTGCCAGGAAAAGACAGAGGTAGACATAAAATCCTTTCTTTTGAAGCTTGGCACTTCAAGAAAAAGTGAGACAGGGATCCCAAGAAATCAGTCCAGAGTAAGTATTCCTGGCACACTTATTGCCATCATTCCCATTCGGGTTTAATCTCTCTATCAGGAGACTTGAGAGCACAAGAGAAATGAAACCCTTTACTTTTAACTATAGAAAAGCAAGACAAGTTAGAGTGAAGTCAGTAAAAACACCACCAGCCTTCTTTCAGTGAGTTTAACAAGTCTGATTCTACCAGCTTTTTCCAACCCCCAGTTCTTAAAGGGAGTAAAATGTCTTTTAGGAAAATTGAGAGTTTCTGTGAAAGCCAATCTCAGAAAGATAATGCTTAGAAAACATACTGAATTCCTCAGCAGAAAGCTATTGTTACAAACAAATGGGTTAATGACTTTATAGTGGGCGTTTCAGGTACAAGTAATACTTGTGATTCAGGGACTCTTACAGAGAAACAGACAACTTTCTTGTCATCACGGTGTACTGGGAGTATGCTTGTGATACTGGTCTGCGCTCTGATGCTCTGGCTGTCAGCTTTCACAGGAGAGGAAAGGACACTCACCTCATGCCAGCAGCTGTACATGATTTTGTAGATGGACATTGGTGCCAGGCGAGGGTGGTACAACCTGAAGCCTTTAGAAATGGCTTCCACAACTTGCGAATTTGACTTATTTTCAAAAGGCATTTTTCCTTCTGTAAAAATTTCCCACATCAAAACTCCTGCAAATTAAATGCATGAAAACAGAAAGTTGGAGAAGGAGGGTTACCTTGGAAGTAAAAGCAGCATTTCAAGCTACAAGGCATTATTTCCAGAATAAGAACAGTTCTACCCAGGAAGCAGACCTCTTCAACAGGTTGAAAATATGAAAAAGTTCCAAGTGGAAGTGGTCTTGATGGCCTCCCTATTGGAAGAAAACACTTGGCAGCATCTTTGTTTCTAAGTACCACTCATGTCCCTATACCGTGAAATAAATGATCCCTTCTATGCTATTCCATAGAAAAATGCAGAAGTGTGAGCCTGTGCTTTCTGCGAAGGCCAAGCATTTACTAGTCAGTAGACTCATGCATCCCCCTCTTCCCACTGGCAGATTAGACAGCTTGTAGAACACCATGGTGTCCTGCAGGGGTCTGTCCATAGGAAGGTATTCCATAATCACTTATCGGCTAAGTGATTGGTGAAACTCCTCCAACGTCTCCAATTGGTGACCATTTATGTACTGACTTTACAAATATGTATTAGGTGCTGAATAGAGGCCAGAGTTAGTACTGTCGAGCAGCAGAGCAGTCCATGTGCTTAAAAGCTCGCCATCCAATGTGGGGAAGAGTTCAGTAGCCAGTAAAACTTCAGGCATCCTCATTGTTCCACAATCACTGGTTGAGGTGCTTCTGTTGCTACCCATGGTCTCATGACTTAACTGCTCCCCATGGAGAGTTATGAGTAAAAAAAATAGTCTCAGCCTAATTATGGACAAGAAAATGTGCACCCTTCTGGGGCCCAGATGTCCCCTCAAACCCCCTGTGATCCAGGAGGTCTGGATAAGACTAGACAGATTCTGTCTATTTAGATTAATGTCACTTTTTGAAAATAAACTGAAAAAGCAAACCATTATCCAGGGGTGTATAGGATCTCTTTCCCAGTGATAAACATTACTTAATTGAAGTATCAATGATACAACCCAAGAAGGCTAATGTCTAAATTCCACAGAATTTGAAAGTAATGCAGGAGAAGAAGCACTGCCCCTTAGTACCTAGAGAGTGAAGTGTATGAAAACACAATGTTCAGAGATGCCAGAAGATCAGTTTCCTTGCCGGGTCCTGTGGTATGGGAAAAGTGACTGAGGTTGTTTCTAGATTCACAGACCCTTTGTTGTGTTTTTCCAACAAGTGTTTGATGGGAAAGGAAAAAATCCATGAAGCAACTTATTAAAGAAGGGCCACAACACCAGTTGCCTAAGTCAGTCTGGACATGTTTTCAACACTTAAAACAGGAGTCTGGTTATAAGCCTTTAAAAATGCTACATCATATGAAGAAATCCATGTTAAAGAAAATATTGGTCTATTTCATTAAATCAAGTCCCATGAAATGAACATCAAACTCACTCACCAAATGACCAGACATCAGATTTGCTGCTGAACTTGTTGAAATGGAAAACTTCAGGAGGGGACCACTTGACTGGGAACTTGGCTCCAGAAGAGCTGATGTATTCATCATCCAGAACATACCTAAGGTTGTTTTCCAAAGCATTATGTGTTAGTTCCAAATTCTGTGCATTTCAAGTCCCTTTCGCTTGGGGTAAAGTACTTTACGCCCAAGGTATACATAGATTTTTGGACATTCTCTTGTTAAAATGAGAAAGTATTCCTTATAGTATTTCCTTCCCAAACCAAGCTTCAAATGCTTTCATTTTATTATAGGGCCCAGAATAAGAGAGCAATTCTTCAGTCCCAAACATACCTCCCTGAATACTTAGTTATGAGAAGTAATTAATTCTGCAAAGAAGCATGTAAGTGCTCTACCAACCAAGGTTATAAGAAATAAATAATAAAAGATAAATACACAAAAAGCATTCTATACCAGAACAGTGTCTGTTTACATGTTCTAAATGGGTTCATGTTCTAAATTCAAGGTGATCAGCACCTTGAAAAAAGGCAGTCAGTAACATTTTCAGTTTGTCAGCGAGAGTTAAGATTCCCTTTTATGAATGAACAAAACAATATATTGTGTACCTTGTCATTCCAAAATCCGAAATTTTTACTATACTTGTAGAGCTGACCAAACAATTCCTTGCTGCCTATAGAAAGAAGAAAAGAATTCAAGTTTGAATAAAAGGTTTTAAAAAGGGTTTCGGGTCTCCTTTTTCTTAGTTTATTTGCCCCCCTTCACCACTCTCTATGTAGACAAATATGTTATTTTATAATAACTGTCAATGTTGGCTGTGATTCAGTATAGTTCCCCTCACATTAATTTCAATGATTTTCAAAAGTAAGAGAACATGAGAGAAATGTTAACACTTAATTTTGTATTTATGTTCTTTTTATTTTTAATGAAATATGCTTTATCACTTAATACCTTGATTTGTATACATATCTCATAAAATCCTTATTTATTCTCAAGAAGTATCATTGATAAATAGAATCTAACAGATGATAAACTATGAATCTCACCATAAAAAATAATGTGCATTTTTCCCCCAGAATAACGCATCCACAAAACCAGCTTCCTGCATCCTGTCTACCTGCCCACAAACAAGTATAAATGGTCATTTTCAATAGTAGCCAAGATAATTTAAAAACTAAAATATCTGCAATTCAAGTTTTCGCAGTAGCTCTCTACTGCGATGGAGAAAAGAAACTTTACTTGTCCAGTTTAATATTTTAGTAGATGTGGCCCTCCCTGGTGGCGCAATGGGTTAGGATGCAGCACCGCAAACTGGCCACTGCAGCTTCAGTGCGAGTTCGCTCCCCAGGCCTGGAGGTGACCCACATGGCGCGGCAGACCTCTCCTGACCCGCCTGCTCCCCTCAGCAGTGTACTTCCTCCATCTGCCTGTTCTTCTCCCCGCTCTGTCTCTAGTGAAGACTTTCACTGCCCCTGCACCTCTGTCTTGTACCCCAGTTCTGTATGCATAAATAAATAAATCTTTAAAAAAAATTCATCATGTAAGACACTATGTACTCTGAAGGTTATTTTAAGAAGAAGAGGAACTTTGTTTTCTCTCATTCACATGGGTAAATTATCCAGGACAAGCAAATTTCTTTAAGGAGATGTTTTCAATGATCTAATAACTAATTCCAGGCTGTGAATTTTATAACCCAAATATTTTTAGTTAATTTTAAAAATGTATTTTCAGGAGTGAATTGATGTATGAGGAGGAAACAAACTGTTAACTGCAATAAACTGTGAACTTCTTCCTGCTTTAACTGCTAATATAACAGAAAGTTTCCAAGAGCTACTCCCATTATTGCCTTCAATTAACTCAATACAGCATTTATCATTTATACATATGTAAAAATTTCATATAAGTAAAGTTATATTTCTTACCTTTCAGGCCCTCCAACCCACCCTGCCTCTCCGTGTATGTTTTTTTTTTTATCTTAATAAATAAAGTCCAATATAAATAATAAATAAAGGATAGTCATTACATATTTTTAGGGTCTATAATTGCAAGTAAAAGTTAAGAAATTGTATTTAAAATGTACATTTCATTTTAATGAAGCTGTTATCATTTACAATGATAATTCTATGTCCTAAATGACAGCACTGAACTTAATATAGGACTAGGTAAAGCAGAAGCAATCTATTTGATGCTAAGCAATTCATTCTCAGTTAATTTTGTCAAGAAAATTGTTGAATGGGTTATTTAGTATGTATAAGTCAATGACTTGATAGAATTTTTCTCCTTTCTGCTCATCTGTGCTGAAAAACTTGTACTCAATTAATCCAAACAAAAGCCTGAAACTTGAAATGGTGAGCCAGTAGGTGTCCGCTGGGAAGATGTTGATGAGGGCCGACAGTGATCTCAATACCAAACGACAAAGCCAGTCCTTGATAGAAAAAAAGACTCACTGCCAGATGATACATTTTAAGTGGCATGTAGGTGGATAAAACAGAACACAGAAAAAAAAGATCCAGGGAAAAAGCAAGTATGTCTGTGAGACATACTTGGAGAAACAAGAATGAACAGAATGGTGACCCAACTCAGTTTTGAGTTCTGATCTTTCTCAGTAAATATAAGTTAGCAGAGACTGGAGATGGGAGCTAGAGATGGAAAGGATGCCATGCAGAGGGAGGAAGGTGGGAGACAAAGACAAGACGGGCCCAATGTTTGGAGAAGCTCTGTGGGTGCTGTGGTGGTGGGTGGGGTGTGGTAATATATATCTGAACAGGTACGATGTACCTATCCTCCAAGTCACATGCAGTATTGTAAATGAATGTTACCTCAATAAAAAATATTTTTAAAAAAAGCCACTCAATTAGCTACTATGCACTAGATACTGGAATGTATCAAGGGGTTGCAAAACAAGGGTGTAAACAGTAGCCACAGTCTGCATTACCTAGTCTACATGCCAGGCACTGTTTCGGATGTACTTGAAACATTATATAATCTTCCCACCAATCCCGTAAGAGAGGGGGGCAGTAATCAATACCACTTTACCATTTAACTAGCTTGGTCACACAGTACGAAACAGGTGAGATTTCTCTTTGGTGTTAATTTTTGTCTCAGAAACATGAAGGAATAGTATGAATGTCATGAACTACCATGGAGTGAACAGAAAATGCTTTTCAAGTGAAGTAGCAAAGCTATTCATAACTAGGGCAAGATGAACTTCAGTTGTGTGTGTGCAGGACTGTTCTGAACAACACAGCACAGATGGATTTAGCATTTGTAGTCCTCCTCCATAATGTTAGTGATGCTTTTGGGGACAGTGACAAAGCCAAGCTACCTCCACGTGGGGACAGTTTTACTCAAGGGTAAGAGCCCCTGGGGCTTGTTCGTTACTTCTTCAATGCTTGTGATATACTAGGCTCTCAATACCTATTTAATTATTAGTTCAAAGGAATTGAAGTGGAAGGAAGGGAAGAAGAAGGAAGATAAAGGAGAAGAAAGAGAAGAAGAAAAGTAAATTAGTTGTAGTTAGATGATTACTGAGGGGGTTAACTAGCTAAAGGCATATTTTTAGTAAAATCTTACTGGACTACAACATCATTGGGCAATTAAAAATAAAGTTATAGTTCACAGCAAATTACATGAATGGTAACATATGTAAAAATTAATCCAAAGGCTACACTCTTCAAAGTATTGAAAGTCCTACGTTGTCATGTGTAATATATACTCAGAAAATGTACGCCATACTTACTAAATCTCTATGAATAAAGCAGCTTCTCTCCAGGTATTCCATTCCTTCACATACATCCTGGCACATGCTTAATAGCATCTCCTTCTTAAGCTTCCCTTTTCTCTCTCTGAGGTAGTCAAGCAGGCAGCCATTTTCCATATACTCTGTGACTATGTAAAGTGGCTTTCGCTGTATACATACTCCATAAAGCTGAACTAGCCGTGAATGAGATAATTTCCTTTGAAAACAGAGAAAAGACACATACACAGGTGAGCACAACAGCTTTTGTATTTTGAAGTTTTGTCCTCAACTGATATTTACCAGCTCAATTTAATTTTCACCCTCAAGATATGATCAAAATTAACCCAACCACAGAGAAAGTGGAGGCAGTTTCCTTTCCACTTTATGCACCAAGAATGTGGGGTCAAGAGTTCAAGCAGTACTTCCTAAATCATGGTAGAGACAGAACATGACAGGCTCTCTAGGCTATTTTTCTCCTTTCCATTTTGTAAGCTCCTTACTTCCTCATTAACACAACCCCTTGCCCAGATTTCTGGCCTTCTTCACTGCAGCTGCTCAGACAAAAAAGTTCCTGGACATTCAAGAAGGAAGAAGTGATTGATGCCTATTTTAAAAGAAAATACAATTCTAAAGAATAAAATCATTCAAATTAATTTTTTAGGTAACAGTGAAGACTGAAGAACATTTACCAACATGAAGCCTTGCTCTGAATTAATAAGCACACACGTGTCCTTGACAATTGCCTGTTAAACTATTAACAGATCTTTGAAATCATATAAACTTACTTTCTGTGGAATATAATATTCAGTCCCTCAAGACCTTTTATGCCTATAGTTTAAGTATGAAAATTATTTAAATCAATGTTTCTAATTTCAGAAGGTATATAGTAAGCTAATTCTGTTAGTCAATAGTACTTTGAAAGGTTAATTCTTTTCATTCATAAAATAAAATCAATGACACAATTAACCTTAAACCAATATCTGTGAGTGGTTAAGGGGTACATTATCATATAGCTACCAGGAGGAAACTCTTCAGTTAGTAAGAAAGACAGCTTCAGAGACTCTAAATACCTCTCTCTCTCTCTCTCTCTCTATATATATATATATGTATACACACACACACACACACACATATATGTTTCATTTGATTTGCCTTTCAAATTCATTAAGTGTGCATCAGTTAAGGGATGCAGCTTACACCACTGCAGAATAATGGCAGAAAAGCAATTCTTGACATAAGAAACCCATCAAGTTCATGCAGACATGAAAGCCTCTGAGAACCCAAAAATAACTGCATTTGCTCAGCAAGATCATTGGCAAATTCGCAGCAACATGAATGGACATGGAAGGGATTATGCTCAGTAAAATAAGCCAGAAATAAAAAGAAAAGTACTGGGTGGTTCCATTTATAGAAGGAACCCAGGGGACCTAAAGAAGGGATCAGGGGGAGAAAAGTAATTATAATAAAGTAAAAATCAAAACCAACAGACAAATATATTCAGAGACATTCTGCAGGGGCAGGGAGGAGGAAGCTGAATCAAATCAGGGGTGGGAAGAGCACAAGGAACTATGGTGATGGTACATGGGTTAATTGGTGGTGGGAATTTCTTGGGGACTATACCTGAGATGATAAAGCATAAAATATAAAAATGAAGAAAGTTGTAAATATATATATAATAATTTAAAAAAAAATTTAAAACATCATTGGCAAAAATCTATCTAAAAAAAAAAAAAATGAAAGAGTCCCTATCAGAAATAAGGCAAAAATAAATGTTAGCCCTCATGGGTGGTTCATTCTAACAAGACAAATATAAGGCAGGAAGATGTAGGAAGATGCAAATGGAAGAAGTACATACATTCTTGTTTGCTGTAACTTAGTACTGATTAATACACATTTCTCCTCATTTTAGAAAAAAAAATATGATTTCTTATAGAGCAAATATGTCAGGTATATTAAAATGTGTGGTTTAAATATTTTCAGACTGCAGGCTTCTTGTCTTCTGATTATCCTCTTTTCTAAGGTGATTACATCATGTTTCAGTTTTAAATGTCATTTCAGATGATCACCATGTAATTACTGATCACTTGGTCATATTTAGGTAGCTAAGTAAATGTTGAACAAATATTTTTAAAATGTTGGTTTCGATTATGTCACTTATTGGCTGTCTTGGACCAATTCAAGTCACAGATGTAAGCCACAGACAAGCCACAGCCACTCAGTGAAAATGCTGACCTGAGAAATCATAGGAGTTATATGCAGCATCCTGTAGTCTACAAAGAGCCACTAGCTCTCAGAATTCTTAAATTCTCTGAAAGCAAATGCTTTGTATTACTATTTAGACAATATCAACATTTTTGTTTCCAGGAAAAAGGTGGGGGGGTAGATAGTACATTCATGACGCACCTATTACTGAGCTGAAAAAGAACACAGTGTACTTGCATAGATTATCTCATTTAATTCACTCATGGATCCAGTGAGATGGAATTTGTTATCACCATCTTACAGGTGAGGAAATTGAGGTCTAGAAAGGCAAAACAACTCACCAGGTTCACAGAGAAGTCAAATGCTTTTCCCAGGGCATACAACTAGCAAACAAAGAGTTGTGGCATTAATTTAGGTGTGGCTGACTACAAAATCCGTGTTCCTTCCATGACACCAGGGTGATGCCCAATAGTTAAATAGTTATCTGATATTGTTTATACTTACGTCATCACTTTAGCCTCATCTATGAAGTCCTCTTCAGACATGGAGCCTTCACTGATGGCTTTGATAGCTACCTGGATGTGTGTTCGCCATTGACCCAAGTGGACCACTCCAAACTGACCACTTCCAATTTCCTTTGCAAAAGTCAATTCAGATGGATCTATCTCCCACTTTTCTGAAAAAGCAAAACATACAAGTTATAAGTAGGGGAAAACATGTTAAAATTTTAGAACTAGACAAGTTTTTGGAATTATCTAGGCCTGTAATGTTCTTACAGAGAAAGAAACAATTAATAAGTGATAAAGGGGACCTAATTATTTTTTAAGACTTTTTAAAAGATTTATTTATTTGTGCATACAGAAGTGGGATACAAGCCAGAGGAGCAGGGGCAGTGAGAGGCTTCACCAGAGACAGAGTGGGAAGCAGAACAGACAAATTGTCAAGGTACACGGCTGAGGGGAGCAGTGGAAGAGACAGGACAGGACTGCTGCATCACGTGGGCCACCTCCTTGGCCATGGATCAAACTCGCACTGAAGCTGCTGCGGCTAGCTTGCAGTGCTGCGTCCCAACCCGTTGCACCACCAGAGAGGGCCTATTTTGAAGACTTTTACTGTGTGGACTACCTTGGAAAACTATGAGTGTCGTGGTGGTGGGTGTGATGTGGTGACATACATCTGAAGAGGCGTGATCCTGAACCTCTGCGTCATATGCAATGTAGTAAACCTATGATACCTCAATTAAAAAAAATTAATTAAAAAATTCTTCCAAATGAAAAAAATAAATAATTTTACATTATGGATTAAACATAGAATTCAAGTTTATTTACTTGGAGAGGAATTGCAGATATGAAAACATACTTTCTTTTTTTAGAGAGAACCCAAATAAAACCTATTTCTGTGTCTTTCGATCTACAAAACTAGACCTGCAACTATTCACATCCGCTGCTTGTTTGTGCCTGGAAGTAAACTCATGACATGGGTAAGACTTGGCTTCTCTGCCCATTTCAGCTGCCTCTGGTTTTCCTGTGCTGTTTCTCTCCCTAAGAGGGTTTTTGCCTTGGTCCAATCAATTCATCTAAGCCACATGTACTTAAGTGTCTGAAGAAAAATATGCATTACTGTGTATTTCTCATTCTACAGAACAACAACAACAAAAAATCAAAAAAGAACCTTTTAAAATAACTCTTGAAAACTTAATGCTGCCGCCCATTAGGACCTTCTTTTATAAAGCAATACCACCATCTGGTGGAACTTTAGAATAATGCAGTTCAAAGAGTTACAAAGTTTAAATTGCCCTTATGAGGTACATCTCTTTAAGTATCTTGAAAGAGGAATTTAAATGTTGAGAGGAAAAAGAACTTCATATACATCTCAGAAGTGCTGAGAATTTAAAAAGCATATGAGGAACTTGGAGTAGATTCGTTACTGGGTATTTGCATACTTTACCGTAGCTAAATCCAGCTGTGGCTGGCAAACAATTGCCCATAAACCCAACTGGGTGGCGCAGACGGGTCATGAGACCTAGGAAGAACAAGAAATTAGCATTTTGAGAGCAGCTACTAATACAAAAGGAAACACCAAATATATTAGACTAATCACATTCTTTAATAAGCTGCTTGCTTAGTTTTCCCATTTCTTCATAAAATGTTCACTGAATAAAAATTGAGTACAGGGGCCCTCCCTGGTGGCTCAGCGGGTTAAAGCACTGCACTCAGAAGCTAAAGCCACTTCCGCATGAGTTCGATTCCCGCCTGCCCCGGAGGTGACCACATGGCGTGGCAGACCTCTCCTGACCCGCCCGCTGCTCCCCTCAGCAGTGTACTTCGTTGATCTGCCTGTTGTGCTCCCCACTCTGTCTCTGATGAAGCCTCTCACCGCCCCTGAGCCTCTGGCCTGTACCCCAGTTCTGTATGTACAAATGAATAAATCTTTAAAAAAAAATTTGAGTACAAGAAAATATAAAGATGAAATAAAGATTTAAGATTCTTCACAAAATCATTATCATCATTATGGTTTAGCAAACGTCCAACCCATCACACAGAAGTGTTTTGCTATTAGTTTTTTACAGTCAACATGTAGTGTTATGTCACAGCTATAAATAGATCTAAAGTTGATTTCCAAGATTTTACTATTACAAAATGTTTTGGTTTTGAATATATTCTTGTGTGTACTTCTCAAATTCTAGTCAGTTCCTTAGAATAAATTCCTTAAAATGTGATTTGTTAATCAAAGGAAATCTTGAAAGGTGGAACTAATTCATTTGCCAGCAATAATGCTTAAATGTGTTTATTTCAGCACCCTACCCTTGAGCTTATTTAAGATAAATGAATGAACAAACAAAACAAAACAGCATGGTACAGTCAATAAGACTTCCTTTGATTGGGTTAACATGTAATATTTTATGTTTGATTTCAATTTAACTCAACAAGAATTCATTATTTCTTTGACTAATATTTATCGAGGGTCTGGTGTGTTCTATGCACTGTCTAGATGTTAGGAGTCAGCAGTAGGTAAGGTAGCAATCATCCATACTCTCAAGAAGTTTACATTCCAGTGGGGAAAACAACATAAATAAGAGCACGCACATATTAAAAAAAAGCAGATGAGGAGAAGGGCAAAATTTAGTAGATAAAATATAAGGTTTTTTTAGAAGGATGGTAAAGGTGAAGAGTTTCATTTTATCATTGAAGTTAAGGACCTGTGGGGTTGCAAGTATCTCTGTCTACCAGGCAGAGTCATGCAAAGAGAAAGTCTGGATGAGAAGGAACAGGATTAAAGATGGTTTCCTGCAGAACACCCATTGAGAGGGCCCAGAAAGAATGTTTTGAATTAGAAAACACCAAGAGTGGGTAGTGTTATGACAGTTAAGGAGTAGGGATATTGACAGGATGACAATGCCAAAGGTAGCAGAGAGGACTTGAAAATATGGGGACCATGAAACACCCCACACAACGTAGGGTGAAACAGGGTAGTGGAAGCAGAAGACAAATCCTGCATGTTCAAAAAACAATAAAAATGAGCAAGTGGAGATTTGAATTTGGATATGGTGCTCCAGAAATGTGATTAAAAGAACAGTGTCTGAAGGAAGGAAAGACAATGACAGGCTTGTGGTTTTAATATGACAGTGTTAAAGACTATTTTCAGACTGAAGGAAGAAGGTCAGAAGAAATGGAAGCAATACAGGGAAAAAGAGGAATGGGTGATGGCTGCTCTCCATGGGACAGGAGTCCTGAAACAGGGCACGGGCTTGGCCTCACCACTCCTGTTCTCTGTTCAAATTGTCACCAAGCTCTCCAAGACTCCTTTTTCAATGATTACCTGCTGCCCTATCAGCAAACCATCTAGCTGTTTGCTTAATTAAGAAGATTTGTGTCAGCAGGCATGAGCTTCCTTCACAGAAGGCCAGGACTGAGGGGTCTTGCAGAGAATGGTGACAATCTGAACAGAAAACAGGAGATATTTACCTGTGATTCTAAAGACCTAGTAGGTTAGTGCTCTCATCTAGCTGAGCTGTAACATGTGATCCAAAGAGCACTTGTTAAAAAAGAACTTCCGGGCCCTCCCGGGTGGTGCAATGGGTTAAAGAGCTGCACTATGAAGCTGTTGCAGCCACTGCAGCACGAGTTAGATCCCTGGCCCTGGAGATGACCCACATGGTGTGGCAACCCTCGCCCGCTGCTTCCCATAGATGTGCATTTCAGTCCATCTGCCTGTTCTTCTCCCCACTCTGTCTCCTCTCAGCTCCTGCATCTCTGTCCTGTACCCCAGTTTATATGTATAAATAAACCTTAAAAAAAAAAAAGAAAGAAAGAAAAGAGGGTTTCTTCTTAAATAAATAAAAATTTCCTGAAAGCCCTAATACTTTCCTCTACCATCAGAGATTTTACTTGTCAAGTGTTTTTATTCAGTGAACTCTTTTTACTTGGTGAATTTATTTGTGGATTGTCATGACCTAAATTGACCAGTGGTCAATGTTTTGTCCCGACTTCTGTGACCGGCCGCAAGAAAGAAAGGCGGGAGGCAGAAAGGCTGAGCAAGCAGAGTTTATTGCTCCTGGGCAGCAGCTGAGACAGAGCCCCTAGAGTGGGGTCCGCAGCTACTGCCACCCCTATAGGGGGGAAGGGTCTCTTATATAGATTCTAAGCTCAGATTCCAAAGGAGTGATTCATCGCTGTGCCCCTTGATATCAGGTCAGTTCGTTATCACCCTCATCTAGTCCCATCCCAGATGCAAGGCCCAGTTAATTTATCACCCTTGGATGCAAGGCCCAGTTTATTACCGCCCTTATCTAATCCTGTCAGTAACTGTGTTATCTCCACACTTGGTCACTCCCAACAGTCAAAAGTCAACAGGGTAGCTGACAAACTCTTCTAAAACAGGACCCTCCAAAATACCCTCCAGTTACGTGATGTGCCTCTTTCTGGAGGAAACTCTTGGACCAGTGTTTCAATGGATCCAAAGGTTTCAAATGATTCTGTGATATCAAATCTCAGCCAAAAGAAACTGTTAACTACTGCTCTACCTTGAGTAAGTTAATCTCACAACTTGTTTCCTCACATACAAGATGGAGATATCAGCTGCAGGGCCTCATGCTCTGGACATTAGATAAATAAATAAACATGAAAATAACTAAGAACAGGGTCTGGCTCAAGGGAAGATTTCAATAAATGGCAATGCCTTTCCTCTTACCATCCTTCTTTTCTGTGTCGTTTTTCTTTACTGTTTATATCCTCTCTGTTAAACAGCAAGACACTTGTACAAGTTTTGAACCCATTTTTCTTTTTTTATTGTTTGACTCAGCTTTTTATTTTAAAAGTTATCTGCATGATATTTTATACATTGTAAGACTTGTGTACATTATAGGAAAATAGAAATCAACCCCACAGCAATCTATGAAATAGAAAATTATGTTTCCCTAACCCACAGTCTCACTCCCCAGAGGTAAACACTAACAGATTATAGTCTGTTACCAGACTAAAAATCATTACTTAAATTGTTTTTCTATGCATATGAATGTGCTTGCTTATTTTTCAAAAGTGGGACTATACATTGCTTTGTGCTTTTTTCTTCTAACTAAACAACTTATCACTGACATCTTTTCTCAGCAACACATCCTGATCTACCTCAGTATGTTTTTGAGACTCACCACGATAACCACTCTGTGTCTTCAGTTTTTTGTTGAAGGAAGGGGAAAGAAGAGTGTGAGGGGAAAAGCTTAGAATTATTTTGATTTGAAGGGGTTTCCATCTCTTGCCACAAACATGTGCACCCCGGCCCCACCCAAACACACCACTACTTCCTCTAATCACTCTCAGTGGCCGTCTAGAATATCCACAAGCACTCATTTCGTAAGAGGATTAAAAAGTCTCCTGACATGGAGAACCAATGTGATGGAGAAGTAGGTAACTTTCCAAAAGAGATTTTTTTCTCAACATAACTTTTCATGAGAAGATTTAAAAGTACTGCATGAAAAATCAAAACAATATGAAAAGTTACAACAGGTCCCATGAGCATCTTCTACCTTAGAATCTAAAGTGGTCTAACACAGTTGGATGAGGAATGAGAGTCAGAGATGTGATTGTAATTGTGGTGGAACTTTTTGGAAATCTGTATCTTTCCATCGTGGACAGGCTTGCACAAGTAGCAGTTATTGTTAATAACAGCTGGAAGGAGACTGAATATTCCACTGGTATATTTAGGTCAGATTATAACTACAGAAGACTGTATGTCTTGTGTCTCTTTTTCTGCTCTCCAAACAAGGAAGAACAGAAATCGAGAAATTTAAGGTTAATTTCCTACCACAATTAAGTAGATGGGAGCAAAGAGAAGGAAGCACCATTATTTGGGACACTTGAAATCCTATTACATTTAAACTATGTAAATTTCAAGAACAAATGCATAATGACTAAATGACCTTTTCTTCTCAATCACCATTATTTTCCTAACCTGACCAAAAAGTGAAAAATCAACTTTCCTTTTGCTCCCTAAGTAGGAAAACAAAGAAGTATCAGTGAGGAAGATAACTGATCCCAAAGACAGGTTGTATTTCAAGCCTTTAAACCATTGTACAGTGATATTTGCTCCTTTTGAGTGTCTAATTCTATTGCTTATCAACAGCTGGGCTCTTAACCCCCATCTTTAAGTTCATCACTTACCAGCTGCATTGTGCTGGTGGTACCAGATCAGCTCAGGGATGGATGGGAAGAAGTGTTTTTCAGCAACATACCACTGCCCAGACTCATTCTTTTTAATCTGGTAATGTTTGATGGTTGCTTCCTCAGTACTATAAACAATCAAAGATGAATTAGTAAATAAGCAAAAGATCATTTTAGAACTAAGTCAACTGATGAAGGACCATGACTTCACCTCTAAAATTCTTATTCTAGCCACATCACACACTGAAAAGCAACTGCATTAGACAGGGCCCTCCCTCTTCCAGGAAAATTCCTCTGCTACATTACTATGGTCTCAGATTCAAATATAATTTTAGGTGAAGTTTTCTAGTTAACAAAGCTGGTGTCCAAAAAAGTAAAACTGATAATGGACACAAGTGTTTATTGAATGTCGAGTATTGGTTAAATGAATGACCACATGAACTGTGAGAAGGATGTGAGGTAGGGTGAGGCAAAGACCGGGGAAAAGCCAATATGTAGCAAATTGGCAAACTTGCTATATTGGCAGCTGGAACTTAGGAAACTACTAGAGACTTTGGAACACATTTCAGAAGTGTCCCCACAAAGTGCAAAGAAGCTAAGGTGCTTATCTACCAACGTATCCCTTTCCTCGTTAATAGAAGAAATAGTACTTAAAACCCTGCATTCCACTGAATATAGCTACTCAACAATAATTTCACACTTCTTAGCATTACCAGTCAACCAAATATAGGATTAGTTATATGAAGCATGAATTCCCTCAGCCAAAAAACATCCTCAAACAAAAGGTGAAGCTTCCTGAATGCGGGAGAACTCTCTACAGGTCAACCCTAGGGTCAACAAGGGTTGAGGACAGTGTCCACAGTCTGCTATAATAAATCTATCTTTCTCTCTTGCTGCTTAAGAAAAGGAAACAATCATTAAGAAGCTTACCCAATGTGAAACAAACATAGAACTTACTAAAAATACAACTTGAACCTGTTATTTGTACCAATTTTCAGGTCAACCATCTTCTGCCTTTGGTAGCTTGCTAACAATCTCTGCATGATGATTGCCATAAAAAAGAACTGTTCCACATATTGTTATTTCTAAAGTCAACAAACTTCACAATTGCTTACCTCCTTGCTTTTATAAACACAGAAATTGTGTAGGATCCCAAATGCCTTGAATCTCTGACAATAAATGCGCCTTCTTTAGACTGCAAAACAATTCATTCATTATTTAAGTGTATACCTTATTAGGAAAAAAAAAAAAAGACAGGCCTACATTTCAATAGTGAAAACCAACACTGTGACTTTCCTATAAAATAAGGCAAATTATAAATAAATAAAATATAAATGGGGCAAGAATTTATAATGTATGAGTATTTAAAAACATTGCCCTTAAAAGAGAAAGAGAAGAAAAAGTCAAAGCAAACAGACATTTTCAGTTTCTTCAAAAGAAAAATAAAAACTTTGCCCTTGACTTTTCTAAGAAGAAATCTATAATTTGATAACCTGGTACCCCACCATTTAGTTATTTTTGTTATATTAATGAAGATAATAGCTTCATTTTGTTATATATAATGAAGATAATAGCACAAAGAACTCTGAGATAGATAGGTTTGTGCTTTGGCAGAAAAGAAACACATGGCAGGTGGTGGGGGTGAGATGCAGGGGAAACTGTCATAGGAAGGGAAGGGAAACGTAAATGGACCAAAGTTCATGATAGAGGTGGAGAGAGAATAAGCTTGAGAAAGTCGGAGGAGTGAGAACCACTGTAGATGCTTGGTGGGTAATAGAGAGACAGAAAGAGCCGTGATAGGAGGAAGAGTGTTAAAATTAGTTTAATATCACATATGAATTGGACTCCCATTGATGTTATTTTGATGTTATATTGATGTTATTTGGAAAACTACCACAATGCTGCTAACAGTTTTCAAATAATCTTGACTGCTGGCTGTTTTGTGTGGTTAGTTTGATATAGTAACTATATAAACTTTCTGCTGAAAGTGCTTATACTTTTAAAAAGGGATATTTCAGAATCTTGCCAAACCCTTATGAAGTGCTAATAGCTATTTAAGAACTGACAATCCAAAGGCATCCTCTGACCCCAAGGTGCAAGGAATGCACTCTACAGACCTCTCCTTTCAGATACAAGAGACAAGCCTATTTTCTGATTAAATTTTTGAACCAACACATTCTCCAGACACTTAAAATTGATAATATCTAGGTTTGATTGAATTCCTACTATGTGTAAAGGATTGCACTGCAGAACACACAAGCTAAAGAGGCCAAGTGGTAGGTGAGCTATGTATGTATGTATGTCCTGTGCATGCATACACGTGTATAGATTATGCAGGTAGTAAGCTGGAAATGTAGTGATCCCTTCTAAAGCTTCAAGGTAGTAACAACATTCCCTCACCACAAAGGAATGACATTAGAAATCAATAACACATTCCAAAGCAAAAAGCCCTACTATCTGTAAATTTTTAACCTTTTTTGTGTAACTCAAAGAAATCTAAATAAACATAAAAAATATCTAGAAAATAATAAGGAAATTCTGACATTAGGACTTCTAGTATACATTCAATCAGTACTTAGAAATAAATCCATAACCTTATTTTTATATCAATAAACAAAAGAAATACAAAGAGTACATCCAATCAAGATGCTATGATAAGAACTAAAAATTCAAGAAAGGAAGATAAAGATATTCATAAAGGCAAAAGAGAAAACAATAATATAAAAAAATTGAAATACAGCTAGCAATTAAATTCAGACCTAGTTGTTGAGGAAAAGCAATACAATAGATACACTGTCTATCAAAAAATTTCATGAGGATCCAGAAAAAAAAATTAAAAGAATTTCTTGACTCTTTACAATAAATTTGAAAATTTGAACAAAATAGATAATCAACTAGGAAAACATGAAATTTATCAAAATTGATTCCAGATGAACTAGAAATTGTACTGGATATATTATTAAACAGAAAAAATAAAACAGCTACAGTTACAGATTGTGATGTTACCAAATCTTAAATTTAGGAAGCAGTAGACTGAGTAAATGCTTTCAGAATATATATAAAAAGGACAAAAAAATTCTAAATTATACAAAGTGAGCTTAACATCAACATGAAAAACAGCAAATACTCTGGGTAAAAGAGAAATCTACTATCATATTTCACTTGTAACTATGCAAAATCCCCAACTAAATATTAAGAAACCAAATCCAGCAGCGCAATAAAAAGTAACTACACCATGAGAGGAAGAACTGCATTCAGGAATATAAGAGCAATCCAATATTGAGGATTTTATTAATATAATTCATCATACTAATAGATCTGATGTGAAAAATTCAATGAATGTCTCCATAAATGTTGAAAAGTATTAACAAAGTCAATCTCTAGTATCAGATTTTTAAGATTCTTGCTAAAAATAGGAATATATGTGCATGTCCTTAACACTATAGCACGTTGGCCCAGGTCCAAAGTCATTGTTATGTGGCAATCTTTCCAACCACAGTCAGGAAAAAAGAAATGTCCACTGTCAGCACTGGTATTAAATAGTGTCCCAAGTTTGCTAGCCAGTACTGTTAAATGAGAAATTTAGAAAACTTGCAAAATTTAGAACCAATGTTAGAATTTTGAAAGGAGTTGAAATCTTCACTGCTTGCTCCTGCTATGATTACAGATATAAAGCCCAAGAAAATTAGCTGAAAAACTACCACAAAAATATTTGACTTCACCAAAGTTGTCAGTTACAAAATTCAAAATTAATTCACAAAAATCAAGAACATTCATATGTAAAACAACCAGATACCTAATTATAATAGCAATAAGAAGATTAAATGCCTTTTTAAAAAACCTTGAAGATAAATGTGCACAGCAAAATTAAGAAAATATTTAAAATGCTCCTGAAAAATTAAAAAAAAACATTTGTTTTCCTCAGTGGGTCTCTAATTTAACTAGATTTACTTTTGTTTAAAAGGGGATATAATGTTTTTTCTACATGAATAATCAATATATGGCCCTGAAAAACTGGCCACAAAACCCACTGATTGCCGCATTTTATATTCATTAACAGCACTTAACAGCACTACTGACATCCTATCAATTGTGAGATGAGCAGCAAAAGCCCAACAGAGAATTTTGCAAAGGTAGAGAATAGACAGTGCACAGAAAAGGAAATACAAATATACAAAAATATGCCTAACATTTCCAGAATAAGAGAAATGCAAATTAAATCCACAGAGATGAGATGTCAGAAGGAAAATTTCCAAGGGTTTCATTAAAACACGTGCTAGAAAGATTGTGAAGAAGTAGGCATCCTCTTGCATTTCTAGTAGGTACATATGATTGGTATGACTCCTTTAGAGACCATCTTAATGCCTATGAAAATTAGAAATGTCCAATCCCTTTGAGGCCAAATGCCCACTTTGGAGGATTCTGTCTGTGAACAACACACTCGTATAAATGGGAAAAGAAATGTGTCTGGGTGTACCTGTGTCAGCTTTATTTTAATAGCAAAGGACAGTATAGCACTTAAATTTCCATAGTGAAGGACTTTGTTATACATTCAAGGTAAGAAATACTACCTAGTATATATTTACACACACACAGGTGTAAAATAAATGAGACACTGTAACTGATGTGGAACGTTTATATGTGTCTAATGAGGAAAGACTATAACCCTAAGTGAAAAAATTACGTACACAAGGATGAATACATTGTGTTACCAGTTGTGTAAAAATGTAACATATTTGTACTTGCTTGTGAATGTATTAAATAGCTCTGAAAAGTCACAACATTCACTCATAGTAGCTTGTCTGTGGGGAGGGAAGTCGATGACTTGGGGGTGAGAATGAAAGAAAAATTTAAAACCTTTTGATTCCGAACTATACAAACATGCTGAGGGTGGAAGTAGAAGGAAAAAAACTCAACCTTTAAGATACCCCTATGAATATTTTATGCAATACATTTGAAAACAAATATAAAATAGGCAAGTCTCCAGCTAAGTATAAATTATCAAACAGCTCGAAAAGAAAAGGAAATTAAATCAGGAGTCAAACATCTATCTGTTTGAAAAAGCAGTATGTCCAGACTACTTTACAAGAGTTTTATTTAAGCTTCCAGGAACAAATAACTTCTACCCAATATAAACTATTCCAAAGACTGGAAAAACGACAAAGCCCCAGCCCCAACTCATTTTATGAGTTGTATTTTATGCTAGTATAACCTTTATACCAAAGCTGGACAAAGAGAACAGAAAATTGGAAGCCAGCCTCTCCTGTGAGCAATACAGGACAAAGCTAAGTAAAATACTAGGAAATTCAAACCTCTGATATATATTTCAAGTGCTCCATGACCAAGTAGGATTTAATTACAAAAACATATAAATTACAAAATACTTTAAGGTATATATGAAAATATGTATATTTTTAAAATAGCACACAAACACACACATTTCAAAAAGATTAAAGACCTAAATGTGAAAAGAAAATTTTTTAAATAATTCAAAAGAAAATTCCTTTTCTCACTTCAAGAAAGAAAAGACTATCTTATATGGAACAAAGGAAAAAAGCAGAAATCATAGAGCAAAATGTTGAGAAATTTAATATTTTTGAAATTTCTGAATAAGAAAAAGCACTGTAAAGTTTTTTAGAGACAGAAACCAGAAAATAGTTGTAACACTCAACTGACAGAATATTGGTATTCAGAATATATTTTAAAATACAGGTTAATACGTTTAAAACAAGCAAGCATTGTAGAAAAATCAGTTAATAATATTAGCAGGCATGTAACAGCAGAGAAAACTCAACTAGCCAACAGAAATACATGGAAAGTATTCAATTAAACTGTGCAGCAAGGAACTACATATTTTAAAGTGTTTAGGTATGCTTCAATACCCCTAACTCACAGAGCATACACAGTGTTGTAAACCAATGTTACAGCAATAAAAAATAATTTAATTTTTAAAAGTATGTGCAACTGACTTTTTCATTGCAGACCTGATTATTTCTCACTCACTATTTCTCAATTTCCTAAACATCTAACAATAGTGCTTAGAGACACATGTAACTTTACTCAGTTTCTAGTTTTGACTCTTACCTACATTTAATATTTTCTGTCAGTTGGAAATTTAAACTCTATGCAGTTTTGGTTTGTTTGACCTATATGAGCAGTTTTGATCTGACTTTGATGTTTTGGCTACCCTGCTCTTCCCTTTGGTCCCCAAAAAACAAAGTTTAGCACCGTGCAATTTTCTACATTTCTATTTTTAATGAGTCTAAGCTAAGTTTATAAGGACAGAGTGTGTGTCTGATGGACTTTCTTTCAAAAGTACAGGGTAACTCCGAGCTTGCATTTGGGAGTATCTGAAGGAGTTTCAGCACTTGGAGCTAAAGTCTTTAAGAGAGAATTTCTATTAACAATGATACAAGTTAATAGAAAACACAATCAGAAAGAAATACATCTACTTTTATACTCTGGTTTCTCCTCAGAACTTATAAATCTTTCACTTTTTACAAATATATCCAGTTTACAACTTACAAAAAGGCTGTGGTAGAAATGAAGTTGTAATATTTTGAATAAACAAACAAATAAAACCCAGGAACAAATAAAACATTCTAGTTGCATAAAGATGTTCTAATGTACCTCTCTTAAATTTTAGAAATATTTCATAGATTTCTTCATGTACAAAATAAATTACCTCTTGCCTCAAAAGACATTCTGCCTGATTTCTGGTAATGTTTCTATGGTACCACCTGTAAAATCAATAAAAATCATTTTTAAATTTTTTTTTCCAGGAAAAAAAATGCCATTTCCTTCATTTTAAAGAACTTATTACAGAATTAATTTTAGAAAGTTGAATTTTCAGTTTAGATAAACCATTATCATGCAATAATTACATATAAAATGTATAATATATGACTACAGACAATATTACGTGTCAATTAATTTAGCTTACGACAGTTTTATTAATACAAATCAACATCTAGTTTATACTACTACAGCTTCATTCAAATTTCTAACACACATAGTATATAACTTTGAATAATTTAATCTCCTAAAATTTTCCACAAAATTTATTTCACCATGTTCAATAAACACTTCACTGAGCTTCAGTAGACAAACTAAAAAATAACTATTTCTTTCTCTCCTTGTATATTTTTACATGTGCTATGTTTTCCTTTCCAAAATTAAAAACCACTGTAAATTATTTGATTCTCTTAACCAAGTTGACTTCTAGTAAAGTTACTGGTTAGTAACTGTAACAATCAGTACATCACCAGATCCAAACATCCTCTCACCCTCATCATTCTTCTCATTTCTCCCCATTCACTAAGTATCTGCAACAATGTGATTTCTTTCCTCAAATTCATGATTTCTGCCTCTAACCTTGCTGCTTCCTCTGCAAAAACCTGTCATTAGTGATTTTAAAATATCGAAGCTACACACAAGTAAACACATGCATGTTTACATCATTTGCTTTAAAGCGGTATTTTGCTGTGATCACACAAGTCAGTCAACAAATGTACAGGAAAGTAAGACCATGATAAAACAAGGAGAGGCAAATAAAATGAAACAACTTTCATTTGAAAATAAGATTTTTAAGGGAATAAATCTAAGATTACCAGAACCACTATTTTGTGGACAGTAAATGGAAGAATGCAAATACAACCGTGCACTGAGTCACAGCAGGTGGGTCAGAAGGTAGTGAAATGAAATTCATACCAGACTTTGAACATGGAACTATCTATACTCCTGTGGACTTCCCCTAACCGTCTGTTGCAGAAAACTGCCACTAAACTAAAATGGTCTAGTATTCAAAATATTAATGTACTCAAGTTAAAAAGAACTTTAAAAAAGATGAGCCCTAGAAAATAAGGGAAGATTATAGAGGCTTCTAGATAATGCCATTGATTACTCATCCCTAGTGGAAAAAATAGTGATTATCATGTTAAACTGAGTATCATCAGCATTTCCTAATTCATATTAGAGAAGGATATTTCAAAATGAGTCTGAGACTTCTAGAAAGAGGAAATTCTTTCCAAGTAGTAGAGGCAGTATTAAAAACACAGGAACCAGTTTAAAAGGGCTCCCATTGGCAAAGTTGTGGAGTTTAGATGTTAAAAGTAGAATAATGATTTTAGTTATTTAGATACATTGAATCTATAAAACACCAAGACTGAGTAATGAAAGCTAACATAACCAGTAAGAATGGCACATCTTAAAACAACTAGCAACAACAAATGTTGGCAAGGATGTGGAGGAAAAGGAACTCTCCTGCACTGCTGGTGAATGCAAACTAGTGCAACCACTATGGAAAACTGTTTGGAGGTTTCTCAATGTATTAAAAATGGAATTTCCATATGACCCAGCAATCCCACTCCTTAATCAACTTGTATTTGCTGCGTGACTCTCAAAGAGGCACCTGTCTTGGTGACAGCCACTTGCTGGAAGCATAGGCTAATTGCAGAACCAGTGAGCGCTGACACGCAAGAGGCAACCATATTCAATTTATAGAAGACAGCACTATTCCCAGCGTTACCACTTTCTACTTGTAAACTCAAGGTTCAGCCTATGTTTCTGATCTTCAGAATGAAGGCAAAAGATGTGATTACTGAGCTCTGCTTCATCTTCCATGTCTTAATTACAACAAAAAATAGATTTCTAAGTAGAATATCAGAAACTATTCCAAATGATAGCATTAGCTTAGTTCTCATCTTCACCTATTCTAAAACATTTCAAAACATGAGCCAAAATATGTGTCTATAAAGTGTCATTTACCCCTAATTGAAAATTTGATGTCATTTTTAATGTAGTTAACTTTCCATTTAGGATGACATAAAGTAAAACAAGTACAAGAATGGGTGTTTGGTTTCAAGCTGTTGCTATTAGAAAAAAACAAAGCCCAAAAGTGGCTATACAAAACAAAACAAAAAGAAGGTTATGATGTTTCTGAATCAACCATTGTAAGGATCAAAGATCCCTTAAGCTGAGACTGTCAAATGTGTTACTTTCTTTTCCTTTGCAGACCTAAAATATTATCTATCTCTCTATATATAAACTGCAAAAATGAACCTCATTTTCACAGATTAATAATGGGTCATATCTTGGAGAGAGACTTACTCATATATTTCTAAATTGGTTAGCTTGTTTTCCGTCACATAGTTGCTTGGGATTAAACCTTCATTCCTACAATAAGAGACAAAGCAAAAACAAAAGGTTTGGCATATTTGTGGCATTTTTATGACAACAATCTTCTTAAAACCTTGAACATTTACAAGAGAATCAAATTCATTTTATTGATTAAATTTCTAAAAGAAGAAAAAAGTTTTCCTTCAAAATCTGTTTGATAAATACTAAGATTCAGGTTTATAATGTGAGTAGTTTACGATGTTTTAGGGCACTAAAATCTTTTCAAAGATTTCACATGATGATGGTTACAAACACATCAACCACAAAGTTATTGACTTGATGTTTTTTAATTGCTGTAGAATGTCCCAAAGAGTAAGATATTCTAGACTGGTTATATGCCTATTACATCAATGCTGTAAAGAAATACTTGAACATGACTTCTTGTGCACAAGAGCATTTCTCTAAAACAGAGACCAAACAGGGAAATTCCTCGGGCACCAAATACATGTATCTTTCAGTAGATACAGCAAGTTTCCCTTAACGGAGGATATACCAGTTTACAAACCCATCAACAGGCTGGGGACTTCTCTTTTCATACATCTTAACTGACATTTGAAATTATAAAGACCCCCCCAAGAACATATTAGTGATAAATAAAAGCAAATCATAGCATAAAGCATACATAAAGCCCAAGATTTAGGTAAATTCAATCTGTAAAAAATACTGTTATAGCAATACGTGTATGAAAGTTTGCTTAAAGTGAAACGGAAAGATATGAATAATAGTCCTTAGTTTGGGGAAACGGAGTAGGTTTGGAAGCAGTGGCCAACCAGAATTCTGGTATTATATATCACATTTTCATATTACAAAAAAAAAAAAAAACCTGTATTCATTAACATTAGTTTAAAATTATTCCATTCTTTTTCTTTTTTATGTCTGAGGCATGCCAATGCCTCAAACCTGTAACAGTGGCCTTTGACATTCTTGAACCTACTGATACCTGTCCTACTCCTGAAAATGCTCCATCACATAAAAAGCCTAAACTCAGGACCGATACAAGAGCCAAATCATCAGGAAAATATCATAAAGAGGGAAATTATGTAAGTTAGGTACTTCTACTACTTAGATACTTATAATCTCAAAATCTTGGCAACTATCAGAATCAATGACAGCATTCTCTCCCTCAGCCCAGAGACTCAGCCTTCTCCCTATCGAGGCCTGCAGTCAGGCATCAATAATCTATAGTAACTGACATGAGTGAGTCTGTCTGCCTACCCAGCATCTTCTTTCTAATCCAATTCAGCAATACTCCAGTGTTTACTTCCAAACGAGTCATTGTAGAAGTAGGAAAATAATTCAGATACTGTTTTGCTTTGATAATAGAATTTAACAGAAAAACAAGTCAAATTACCCCCCCCCAAAGGGTGTAAATCAGCATAAAAATTTCCTGGCAGAAATTATTATTTCCATTTTACAAATAAAGAATGGAAAACTCAGGGAGGTTGATGACTTGCCCAAGAACACACCAATCAGTGGCAGCCTCGAGAAATGAAGCTAGTTCTGGGAGTCTGCCTAAACATGCTACTAGGATGGTCTCTCATACCCATGGGGAAATGCAGAGACAGGCTTTAGTGCATGCAGAAGGAAGAAGTATAAGCCTGGAGAAAAGGAGCCACTAAGCAGAGCCTTCCTTATGATTGTGAAGTCTTCGAGGATAAAAGAGCAGGAATTTGATAAAGACCAAGCAAGCCATCCGTCTTACCCCAAATGGTCTCTTGCCTTCCACCAGTGAGGGTTATATTTCTCCACGATTAGATATTCCTCTGCTCTCTTTAATGCTAAATTACAGGGCTCTCTGGGTGCAAAGTCATACAGGGCCTTGACTTTTATCTTCTCTTCAACAACCACGGATGGTGGGAGTGGAGGCAGAGGCTTGCGTTTTGACGGTTGTATATGACCCCTGTTGGACTGTAAGAACCAAGGCATAAGTTGCTGCATTATTGTTTCAGTTATATATCCTTAAAAAAGAAAAATAGTGATGTAATATATTTGCCTGCTACCTCTGCACCAAAGCAGGGTAGAAAACAACATAGAAGATCAAACTAACTTTTGAATCCCGCAACACATCATTTGTAAATTTTGAAGATGGCAACTTCTCTTATAGGCCTTGCATTTGATTTTTTTCATGTCATAATTTTAAAATTTGCCACCTTCCCCAATAGTACTATGTTGTTTTAAAGCTTTGTTTCTCTTGGGAAAAGAAAAACAGCCCTTCCATTTTTGGTGCCCTGAGCTTGTGTCTGGGTTTGCCACCCTTCCTTGAAAACTGGGTTTTCCCCAACACTGAAAATTAGTCCTGGTTTCAAAATGGCAGTAGTCAGAGTAAATTTTTTGTTTGTTTCCTTATTCACTGTCCAGTTTTAAGTTCTGGGATAACTTGTGTAGGCTATGTTAACTCATCTTTTTCTCTATCACTTTGTTCTAGAACATTCATTCATGAAAATGTCTATTTGAACACATTACATATGTACCAAGTATGAATATTAAGTGCAGGACATTTCAGCAAACAGAAACCCATAGACCCTTTAATTGTAAGCTTTATTTGCCTTTCAGTCCTCTTCAAAATAATACTTACTTTCTTCTTACTTTGCAATTCACAAAACCACTGTCTCGCCCGCGGACTGTATTCTTCTGAAACTTCTTCATCTCTACTCAGGCTTATTTGTGTTTTCATTTGTCTGGCATAGAAAAATAATCATGTTACAAATGGTTATTTCTATTTAGGTTCTTTATAAATCCACTGGATGATCACAAAACTTGATGAAAAATTCAACTTTCTTTCCTACTACATTTTTATATAGAAGATTTCCAAATTCCATTTCCTTGGGCAAGATACTATCTCTCCGAACATAACTTTTCTTACTGGGGAACGAGAGATGCTAAAAACATACAGAATTGCTATGCTGAGGAAACATGTCACAGACTTAGTACAGCATCTGCTGCATATTATAAAACTAGAGTTGCGGTCATGAAAAACACACTCTGTGTTAGCAATGTTTATCATTTTATATACATTTTCTCACTTACGGTCTCTACTACTATAGTAGATCTGGTGTTGTGATTAAGAGCACAAATCTGAATCCCAGCTCTACCATTTCATAGTGAGGCTTGAGGAAGCCTCAGTTTCCTCATTTATAAAGTAGAAATGGGGGTGGGGATCCACACACGCAGACACTGTGGTTTTGAGAGTTACTTGAGCTAGTAAAACTCAGCCTCTTGACGCCGTCTGACATTGAGGGCTCTCCCACTAAATTGTAACTGACACAATTATCATGGAGCCTTCAGTTTTTATCCCCGTACACAATTAATTACTGGGCACCAAAGTATAAAACACGTTGGCAGTTTGGGAGAAATATTCAAATAATTATAACAGGAGTCTTGCCATCTAAACAACATACTTAAAAATATATTAAGTAGAGAACTAAGCCACAGACTAGGGGAACATAATGGGAGGAGGAAATATATCCAAGAGACTCAACAAGGATCTAAGGTCTGATATTTGAGCTGTAGCTTTAAATGAAAGGATTTTCAACAGAAAGAAAACAAGAGAAGGATTTCCCAAGCAGATACAACGAAACATGGATGTTAAATAGGCAGAAACGAAACAGAATAAAGTAATTTCTTCTCCTTTTTTTCAAGATTTACTTATTTATGCACACAGAACCCGGATACCGCCCAGAGGTTCAGGGACGGTGAGAGGATTCACCAGAGACAGAGTAGGGAGCAGAACAGGCAGATCAACGAAGTACACTGCTGAGGGGAGCAGCGGGCAGGTCAGGAGAGGTCTGCCGCGCCCTGTGGGTCAGCTCCAGGGCTGGGGATAGAACTTGAACAAAGATGGCCACCCATTGGCTTAGCTCCGCAGTGCCCCGCTCCAACCCGCTGTGCCACCAGAGAGGGACCAGAATAAAGTCCTTTCCAAGAAGTTGCCCTTGGAAGCAGACTTACCGCTTCTGCAGGGAGCAGCAACAGCAACAGCAGAAAATCGACTGGATGGTATTATCTGAAAAGCAGATCATTTTCGGCTGTTACAGGGCCATAATATTGGGTAGGTAAGGCTGGTGGTGCTATTCCAAAGGGGAAGTCCCCAAGGCCAGGGGTGAACTGAACGATTATAAAGCACACAGAGTCTGCACTCTGCCCTCCTTGACTGGTGGAAGGAAAAGCACTGTCACTATAGCAAAGTAAGTTCCTGGCACGCTGGCCGATGTGGTTTCCCTTCTCATGTCTTCTCCCCAGGTCTGGTTTGTGCATTTCCTTCGCGTGCAGGTGATTGACCATTGTATTTGATCAGCTAATAAATGCGTAGAAGAATATGAGGTTAAAAACCCTGTTCTCATAGAAAATCAGTTAGCAGGGATTTTGAGTTAGGTCCATCTTTCTTGAGTATATTTTAATATCTATTTTTTATAAATGTTTTATATTTCAGTATTTGTTATATAACTCAATGTGTGGTTTATATTTATTTTATTTTTATATTTTGCATATAAAATACACCTATATTTGTTTGGCTTTCAGTTTTTCTATAGGTTAAATCCAAATATAAGTTGAATATTTAAAAGAAGAACCAGCTAGTTAGTAAATCTGAGTCATGCTTATACTTTAACAGTGAGACTCAGTCAATAGTTTGTTGAAGTTATATTATTTACCTTTATTAAAGATCATAAATATTGAATTTATAAAAGATGTTTTTTGTTCAAGTAAAATCTGCATTTCACTATCAGCTGTGTCTCATTCATATCAACATCCCAAACTGAAATATTACTAAGGAACAGAGTACACTGACTTAGTTTCCTAAGTCTTCGTTTTCCTATCTGTAAAAACAAGAAAAGCATTCCTACATCTTTGGAGAAGAGTTATAGAACAGAGGTTAATCGCTAACTTTATGAACTTGGGCAAAGTAATTAACTATTCTGTGTTTCTATTTCCTCATTTGCAAAATGGAAAAATAGGATACTTCACATGAAAGGCTACTGTGAAGATTAATTGAATCAATTCATGCAAAGCACCTAGGTCAATGACATGTATGTAGTAAGAGGTTAATCATGATCCATTCTTATAGAGTTGTTGAGAAGATTAAATTAAATATCATCTGTAAAGTCTTTGGAACATACAATTTAGCCCTCAGCCTTCACAATATGCCCCCAGAACAAGAGCTGAAATGAAAGTCCATCGACTATTGTACTAAGACAAGAAGATGTCAATGAAGTCAGACTTCAACCTGAAACCTAGTACATAAACCATTATTAGGATTTTTAAAATAAGGTAGAGATGGAAACAAGGAGAAAAGAAGAGTAATATTATTGCTACAATCCCACCTCTGTGAGGTCCTGAGTCCTAGGATGATGATCAAAAAGGTCCCTATCCAGTCCTTGACCCCCTAGGATATATGAACCTCCTTCTATACCTGTTGATTCAGTGATCCACAGAGTTCCTGAATGGCCAAATGGCATCTCAACTGCTAGCACAAGATTCTCTTCTTGAGCACTAGAATCTTCAATGCCACCAAACCCAAAGTGTCAGGGAAGGTGAACAACATTATTCCTTTGAGTGTGTACTTTTAGCAAATTATGAAAAAATATATTTCTGTTGTTTTAAGTTACCAGTGTTGTAGTGCACAAAGCATATATTTGTGTTCGAAAAGAATTCATTTTAAATATTTTATTAAAAATTTAAATCTAGATTGAAAAAACAATATTACAGAAAGTTTTTAGGTGAAATGGTGAGAGGATCCACTCCAATCCCCTCTCCTTAGTTTTCAGATTTATAGATCCTGGGTATGGGGGAGCAATGTCATATTTGCTGCTGGTTTAAAACATTTACTGCATCCTAGAGGACACCATTCCAGGTTTACAGGATGTTGACTCCCAGCTATCATAGTAATGTAAGCTTTAGCAGGTTTTTCCTTTGTTCTATCAAGCCAGCTGCTTCTGATTTTTAGCTTACCTGGTAAGAGTATCCAGAGAACCCCTGAATAAGCATCAGATAAAAATTAAGAGAAGGCTAATTGACTCCACAGAATGGATCATGGAGTCAACCTCCGTTATATCTTCCTTTGGGTTACCACTCTACCTCCGCCTTCTGAAAATTTCAAACATATTCCTATCTCCCAGGTCTCCTTCACACCAAATCACTAAGTTGTTCTTTGAATGTTCCCAACCAATCTTTTTCCCATTGCCCATGAGTCAATGTAGATCACTGACTCAGATTATTTTCCCTAATAAAGAGAGCAAATGATTTCTTCTTGAAGTTCTGGGAGAATTTTATTTCAACACTATCTTTCTGGTTATCGCTGGAATGGATAGTAACACAAAAGGCTGTTTATTTCTCTTTGGTGTGAGCTCAGAAAACAAATCTATCCTTAGGCCTGAGCTCCTTCCTCCATTAGCTGATGGAGAACTTACATTGAGGTCTCTGGCATAAGCTGAAGGAAAGACAGAAAGAATAGGTACTATCGAGGTGTAAGTCACCTGTTCAAGAAACTTTCTTGAAACTTCTCATCTGCTAGGGACATTGCTTCCATTTTTATGATGGATTGCTTCCATGTGTGTGCAATTTTATGGTTCAGAGAATCAGATAACTCAACTTTTCAAAATCTGGACACATAACTATTTTATGACATATGATCCACCATTAAGTCTCTACCAGGAGCAAGCCAGGGGCTACTTTTTAAATGAAAAATAGTTATCAGCACAGGAACAAAGTAAAACTCCAAAGTAAAACTCCAAAGTAAAACTCTGTGTAATTCTAATAATGGAATTTACCAGAAGCCCCATAGAACCAGCATCTTCTCCTTTTGCACTTTATCCCAGGCTACCACCAAGAATATTACAATTAATTAGTGAGCTTTTTCTTGGTTATGAGATCCTAAAATATATGACTAAATAATTCTCAGGTCTAATTTTTGCTCTGCTTTCTAGAGCCTTTTCTGACACCAATTACCCTATTGCCATGACATATTCAAACTAGAATAATTATTAAAGATTTATTTACAGGAAGACTAATTATGAAGTTGTGAGTGAGGGTAAAAGAACCACAAAAGATGTGCAGAAACCTGAGTCCTGCAGTGATGGACTTTTTGACCATTGCCAGGTCCAAAAGAACCCAAAAAAGAGAGTTGAGTAGAGCAAAGATCGCTTTGTTAGCAGGAGTGACCTTCTATTGAGGGATACAACCAGCTTAAAACAACCTCATCACAACTTCCTTCCAAGACTCCCATGGGGGTACTTCAACCAGAAGCCAGAGGGCTTGGAAATGTGTTGAGCCAACCTCTCAACAAGGTTACCTTTCCAGGAAAGAGTGCAGGAGAGAGAAGAATGAATACCAAGAGGCTGGGCTTACTGAACCATCTTATAGGTTGGGCACCACATTTCATCCCCAGAAGTCATCCTTCCCGGTTAGAATAGGGCAAATGAGAGTAAAGACTTCCAACACACTACCCCTTTTATTATATTAGTTCCCTTTCCTTTCACAGAAGTTAATCTTCTAAACCTAGATACAAGCATTCATTATTGTCTTCCCCTGATTTAGACATTACTTCACTCAGTCTTTGGGTTACAGACAAATGGCAATCCAGTGGTCAACATCTGATTTCTAAAAGATGGAGTCCTAATCCAAACCCAGCACAGACTCATCTTTGCTCCCTCTGCTGCATCAGTACTCACGCTTGATAAAATAACTTTGACTCTTCTTTTGTCTGTACCCAGAAACTACACATATCCCATGGATCTTCTGATTTCTGGAGAACAACATAAAATAAATTACTATGTCCCAAAAACCTGTACTACATTGTGTATTTTAGAGATGTTAGATTTCTGCTGCTTCTGTCAATTTTCATCTATGGCATCATCAATAGCGGATTGCCAAAAAGTCTCCTCAGAAAGAGGGTACTTTAGCAATTGGGGGCTCTGTCTATTTTAGCAGAAGTGGTTATTTTATATTCTTACCAGTTTATTCCAGTGTTGTTTCATAGCCCCCCATGTAGATCTGCATCTTTCCAGGCAGGATATGAAAACACAAATGTAGGTTACTCAAGTGAGTGAAGTGCGTCAGAGCGTGGTATAGATTGTGGCAAAATGTTTTGCTAAAGCTACACATAGCAGTTTTCACATTCAAAATTTTTAATACTCCCACCCCTTCTATATCCCCAATCTGTGCCCTTCTTACAGGACCACCCTTTAGTACACAAATAAGCAGCTGCTTCATCCATCACACGTGAGAAAAAAAAATTTTTTTTTTTACTTTTTATTAAAGATTTATTTTTATTTACATATACAAGAACTGGGGTATAGGCCAGAGGTGTGCGGGTGAGAAGATTGACCAGCCTATCTGTGGTGAAACAAACAACTCTTAATTCTATTCCCTCTATCAACTTCGCTCCCTACTTTTCATGAAATCTAGAAAAGTGTAGTCCTTACTTGCTGCCTCCTATTCTTCCCTTCCCATCTCCTCCTAGTGCATTCCAGTTTTTTTTAGCTCCACCACCTCTCCAGCATTGCTCTGGTTAAGTCACTGCAATACCCAATAGGGAGTCCTCTCTAGTTGACTCCTCTGTGTTCTCTGACTTCTACATCTCAGTCTCCTTTGCTTTCTGATATTAGATTGGTCTAATCTCAGACTGGATTGAATATCCAAAAGTTTTTAGTTTTTTCTCTTCTTTTCTCTATCTCCTTCACTTCATGATTATCTCCTTTCTGCCTGTGACTTAAAAACCTTTACAACAGATGACACTCAAATACACATCTTTGATCCAATTCTTATGAACAACAGACTTGAATACCCAAATGCAAGGATGTCTAGTGGACACCTTAAATTAACATGATGAAACCATCCCTCCTACCCAACTTCTGTCTATCTGCACATCCCCATCTTGTCCTGAGAAATTCTACTTTTCTGATTGCTCAGGCCAGTAACCTTGTCATCTTGGGCCTCTCATTTCACTCACATGCCAGTCCAATCTGCAGGGCAACTCTGATTCAGCACTGTCTTACCCTTTGCCCAACCAGAATGATCTTCTTCC